CATTCAGCATCTAAGTGGCTTTCAGCAGCCATTTTGAATGTCTAGCCTCAGTTTCCTCACCTCTAAAAATTGGCAACAGTAACAGCCCCGCCCTTAGTGAGATCTTATATGATTGGAAGATGATTGACATAAAGGGCCCAAGAAGGAGCAGCTGTTGCCGTATTTACAGCTGACCACCAGAGCCACAGGCCATCCAGTCAACTGCCACCTTTTCAAAGGGGTGGAACTGGAGGTTCAGAGAGGACCGCATCCTGGACCAGGCATCTCAGCAAGGCAGCACAGGGCAAGCCCAGTGGACACCAGCCTCTGGGCCCTGCTTTGTGGCACTGCTAACAGTGAGATGACTGGGACCAGCCAGAGTGTGTGGCCAGAATATTAGTGTGGCCAGAGCAGGAGTTGATTTTGAATGCCCAGGACTTACGTTCACCTGATACCCAGCCCTTCAGAAAGCTTCTGAAACTAGCCTGCCGGGAGCACCCAGGCAGGTGGGCAGGGGAGATACCAAGATGGAAAGGGTTCTGGCTTCTGGGACCACTTGGGTCTCCCTCCCTTGGCCTTGACCACAGTTCCCTAGAGGCCAGACCATCTCCTCCCAGGGCCTGCCCCCCAGCTAGCCCATAGGGTCTGCTCCTCCCCTGCCAGAGAGCCACGGTTTTTCATTTCTCTAAAAACACGTGTGTTACTATTTCCTTATTAAGGTATGACTTACATACAATGGTTACCTCTTCACTGTTTTGAAAAACTGATGAGTGCTGGGGATCCACTACCCCAACTCTGAGCCACACAGACATAACTCTGCACCGTTTCAAGGGGTTTAGAGGCACTCCCAGGACCCAGGTTAAAAGTCACAGAGGAAATGGAAAGGGAGCCCCGGGTAGGTTTTATTGGCTGTTTAGCTTACATGCCCCGGTGGAGAACAGCGCGGGCAAGGGCTACCAGCTGGCCCACCCTTACCACCCAAGCCCCAGCTCTGGAGGGCAGGGCAGATCTCCGGTCCAGCCGCGTACCCAGTGCCTGAAGCACAGGGGGAACGCGGCATGTGGTGAGCAGGCTGAGGTTGTGGTCTGGGCCCCTTGATGACCTTATGACTAGGGAATACTGCCCAGCAGGGAGAATCCAGTGGAAAAGGTACTGCCACCCCCACTGGGCCGGCCTGGGCCACACAGGGCTTCCCCCTTCTCTGGTTCCCGCCCCAGATGATGAGGCCTGGGGTTAGACCAGGAATTGAACCCCGACTATTTCACAGCAGCCTTGTGGCCTTGGGCAAGTGTCTTCATCTCTTGAGCCTCGATGTCCTCCTCTATAAACTGGGGAACCCACGGTGTTCCTGGGAGGAGTCCATGAGTGACAAACTGCAGATAAACTGCGTGGCTCAGCTCAGCATTTGGCAGATGACAGGTGCCTGATCAACACTGACTATTACCACGATGAAGGCTAAACTCCACATCTGAGAGACTGTTTTTCCTTTTTCCTTCTGGCAGCTTCTTGGCATTTACATAGACATGCCTGCCGAGCTGTTTTGGAGCCTGAAGAAAAAAATAGACCCTCCACCTTTCCCAGAAGCCTCTCCTTATTATTTCCTGAGCAAGTCCAGCAGCAGGCATGGATGGGGGGAACAGGAAGTGGCCACCGCCAGGCCAAGTGCAAGGTGTCGAAAGGCAACCTGTCTTGGGGAGGGATTCCAAAGGAGGCTTCCTGTCCAGGTCCCACTTCACACCTTGGGACACACCCTGGGCTTGACTCCCACCCTAATGTGGAGGGAACGTCAAGAGTTCAGCTCCCTCAAACATACTCGAGGATGCATTCACTCCAATTTTTAATATGAATTTTAACAATCTAGGTAGTCAGCTTTCTTGGCTCAGAAGAGATGCTTGGGAATACTTTTTTGTGTTTTAAATCAATCAGCAAAACTCTTGCAGGCAAGGGGAAGTGGGTGTGCAGACCTGATGATGCCCCACGTGGGTGAGCCTCTGCTCAGGCCTATTTTTGGCGGAGCTGGCTCAGTGCCAAGGCCAAGGGGATGCCTCTCATGGGGAGGGAACCAGAGGTGCCAGGAGGGCTGGCAGCCAAAGCCAGCTGGTGGGTGGCATGGGTTTTCTGCCAGATACATGCTCCTGGGCAGTACTTCCTGGGTCATATTAAACTGATAAGAACAGATACTACACTTGATCTTAGCCAAAGAGCCAAGAAGCAGTTCCCTGGGTTATATTCACCCCTTCAACGTGAACCCACCGTGGTTGCACTGAGGACCACGCACTGCCTCCAATGGAGAGCAAGAGAATGGCAGGTGATGAAGCCGGTAATTCTAACATGATGTGGTGTGTGTTGTTACAGGACAGAATGCTGGAGCTGCTAGGAGTCCCGAGGACAGGTGTTTCACCCACAAAAGTTGGACAGACAGTAGCCAGGGACGGCTTTCTGGAAAGGACCAACAGCTAAGTGGAGGCCTGAACGATGAAGTACATGAGCCAGGGTTAAGAGGGAACATTTGCCATCTTCCCCTGTGGCTTCAGAAGTATTCCCACATACAAACACCTAACTGGGCTGGTGAAATGAAGAGTGCTCTAGGCAGAAGGAACAGTTTATGCAAAGGCCTGGAGGTGAGAAAAACATACAGGCAGGCCTTCTACCCTGCTGGGTTCCCAGAAACCTGAGAGGCAACTAAACACAGTGAAAACACAGTTTTGGCAGGACAGTGAGCTTTGGGGGTGCCATGATGGATCCGCTACTCCTCTACTCATGAGCTGTGGGACTGCAGGCAAGTTGCTTACCTCAGTTTCCTTATCTATAAAATGGCCATATTCCTACCTACCCTGGAAGACTATTACAAAGATTCCACCAGACAGCATGCGAAGTGCTCAGCAGAGCCTGGCACTCAAGGGCTGATGTCAAGCACCACCATCCTACAGCTTGCCCTTCATCATTTCCCAATTGAGTCTTTGGGAGGGGACCGGGCTAATTCTTCAAACTGGGGGTCATCTGGGTGCTCAGAGACTCAGAGGGGGACTCCTGACACAACCGGAGCCCTGACTCTGGCTGTGTCCTCATCTCATACAATTCTCACTTACTGGCCTCGTATTCTTCCTGCCCACAGGGCCTTTGCACTTGCTCTTCCCTCTGCCCAAAATGCACTTTCCACGGATCTTCTTTACTCTCCACATTCTTATTAGGTTTCCGTTCCATTATTACCTCTTCAGAGAGGCCTGCCTGATTCACCCTTAAGAAATGTTTCCTCACCCTTCTCCCCAAACTCTCATGCCCCAGCACTGTTTCTCATTCCCAGAACTTGATACCTATAGGTTGATTTGTTTATACCATGTGTCTTCAATCGAGAACATCAGTCCCTCTCAGTCACCTCTAAATTTCCAGTCAATTAATACTTGCTGAATGGGTAAAAGTGTCCAGACTATGCCAGCCCCTTCAGAGGATGGGGGTGGGGGAGTCCCCTTTCCACCTAAAGTTCAGAGAACGGAAGGCATTCATTTTCCCCTCTAGTCTGCCCCTCTGTCTCTTTCCCCCTTAGGGGTATGAAAATCTGAGTTCTGGACAGCAAGAAGGAAAGCCACATCTAGGAAAACTACTGAACTAGAACACAGCATCTGTCATACACTGTGAGAGAAAGGACCCAGGAAATTGACATGATTCCCAGCATGCTCTGCAGCCCCATCACCTGTCAAACCCACAATCAGATGGAATCCCCCACCACTACCACCAACACTCAATATGGGGGCTACCTGAGAGATGGGAGCTGTGGCCAGTCACCCCACTGCTGGAGATCTAAGCTACAGCGAACCCCTCCCCTCAACCTGTCCAGATATCAAGCAGTGAGAGAGCCCTCAAGAAATAAAAACAAGGAAAGCCAGGCAAGTCAGGGCAGGGGAATCCTACCTCCTCTCGTGTTAGCCTTGGGGTTGAACTGGACTTTATAAAACTTTCTGAAGTGGTAAAATATTCACACAGGGTTCAAAATGGAAATATTAAGAAGTTCACAGGGAAAAGCTCATTCCCGCTTCATCCCCTCCGCCAAATCTCCCTGTAAGTACTCATTGTTCTTACTTCCTTGTGGATCCTTCCAGAGTCCTTGACTCAAAAAAAGCAATTAGAAATATACACTCTTATTCCCCATCTTTTGTTTTTCAAACAAAGAGGGTTTCATATTATATATACTGCCTGTCACCTTCCTCTTTTTTTCCCTCGTTGCAGATAGTTCTATATTTGTATAAAGATATACACATACATGTAATGTGTATGTGTGTGTATGTGTATACCAGTTATTATGGGCTTTCTGTAATTTTTTCACCCAACCTGGAAACAGGTGTTTAGATTGGAAGGTAGGAGGGGTTGTCTTTCAGCGCACACACAAATGGCTGGGCCACCCCCTCCAGGTGGTCAACTGTGAACACTGGTTGTCTGCACTAAACCCCAAGCAGGTGCCAGGAGCCAGTTCCTTCCTAGAAGTAACATCTGCAGCTCCCATTTTTTGAGCGTCTATCAGATACCAGCAGAACTCCCATTCCAGACCGAAGGAAACCACGATTCAGAGAGGTAAAGTGACTAGTCCAAGGTCACACAGCCAGGAAGTGGTGGTGGCAGGGTTCACACCTATCAGTCCATCACCAAAGCCAGTTTGCCTACTCACCTGGCCTCCCACAGTCTTCAGTCTACATACCCCTTTCTCAACCTTGGCAAAACCGGGCACCTGGAGGTCAGGACCCAGGGTCAAGTTCCCAGTCTGGTTGGATTTGGGCAGACAGGCGCTAGCACGTCACTTCCCTGCGGTCAGCTTGGCCTCGCAGCGCTGCCTCTCTCTGCACCCAGCCCCGGGTGGAGCGCGTAGCCTCTGTAGGTCCCAGGAATCGGCTCGATTTCGAGGGCTCCGGCAAAGTGCTCAGTGGACACTGCCTTGCTGAAACCTCCCGGCTACCCGGGGAGGCGGGACCGCATGAACCCCCTTCGGAGGGTGAGGACCACGAGAGGTGCACAGACACCTGCTCACCCACCTAAGGTCACACGGCCCGGAGCGCCACAGCCTGGCTCCCACCCAGGTCCCGCGGACTTCAAAACTTTCCGCCGCCTGCGCATCGCGAAGCCAAATGACTTTCAGGCGCAGAGCGCGCACCCCGGCTGGGCGCCCCCGGGCGCCTGCCCCGCCTCCTCCCCGTCCGCAGTCCCCGGGCCCGGGGTTCCGGACCGCTCTGGAGCGCTGAGGCTGAGCTGCCGCGGCACTTACTCAGCATCGCCCGGAGCTCCTCCCCGCAGCCTTCAAAGTGGCAGGCGGGGACACAGCTGGAACAAGGGGAAACTGAGGCGCAGAGAGGGCCAGCTACTAGCCCAAGGTTACACAGCGCGGCGGCGCGAAGCCGGGCGGACGGCCGTGGGCTGGGCACCCCCGCCCCCGCTCGGGTCCCTGTCCCCGTTCCCCGCGGGATACTCACAGCCAGTCTTGCCCACGAGCTCCCGCACCTCTTCGGACGTGGAGTGGGCAGCACCCATGGTGCCGCGGGGGAACTTGGGGCGCGCTTCCCTCGCAGGCCCCGGGCTGGCTCCCGCTACGCAGCAACCGGTCGCGCCTCGGGTCCACCGCGGGCCGGGACGCCGAGGATCGCTCTGAGCAGCGGGTTCCGCGTGGGGCGCGAGCGCGGCTTCTTATAGCGGAGAAGGGCGGCGCGCCGCGGTCCTAGCGCGCGCCGGCTTCGCGCACTACTGGGAGTGGGAAGTGGCGAGCGGGGAGCGGGGAGTGGGGAGTGGGGAGCGCCCCACCCCGGGCCTTCACAGAACGGAGCGGGAAGGCGAAAGTAGGGGGACCAAATTGCCCACAGCCCGCAGCAGTGGCCGTGCTCGTTGCGACTTAGCCCTTCCGTACTCCTGCCGACTTTGGAAAGAGGCAGGTGTGAGCAGAGTTGGGGTGTAGACAGGAGAGATCAGACCCCTGGGAGGTTCCATGGCCACCCAGTTCCGATTGCACCACACATTCTCTTAGATATCAGGAGGGACACTCCCCTGAAACAATAGGGGATGCCTGAGCACTGTTAGCTCTATGGTAAACTGCCCTAAAGTTAATGCAATAATAGTAATCAAATGTGAATACACACCACGTGCTTAGCTCGGATTATTCTGTGAAAGCCCCTACGCCCCTCCCCAGCACCCTAATAAGTTGGACACACCCAGGTGCCAGACCGGTCCATCCTAGCCACATAGCCCAGGAGCTTGGGCGGGGCAGGGGTGGGGGATGGGGGGTAGGGGTGGGAGTGGGGGTTCTCAGACTTGCAGGGAGCTTGGCCAGATTCTGGCTTAGGCAGGGCCCAGGAGGCTGCATTTGGAACTGCTGGAGAGAATGCAATGCATGTTGTCCCCAAGCCTCCTGGGAGAAGTTTTGCCATTAGGCTAGCTTAAGGAGTTGGGATCTGAAGCCAGGCTGGGTGCCTTGCCACCTGTCTGACCATGATTCTTTCTCTTTAAAGGGAATATAATAATAATTAATGAGATGTCCATCAGAAGTGCCTGGCATAGGACACAGAATGGGGCCATTGCTGTGGAATCCTGTCCACTTTACAAGAGAGGAACTGACTCTCAGAAAGGTCACACAGCCAGGGAAGAAATTTAAAGTCAGCAGTTTGCGGTTCTCAAGGCCAGGCCACTGTGGCCCACTGTACTTAGTGACATGGCCATCGGTGATTGGCATGTATTCAATGTCTGCACTGGGTGCCAGGCTTTGTGATAGTGCTGGGGTGGGGGCCGGGGTCCTTTGGGTGGGCCCGCCTACATCAGCTTCACAGGCCCTTGGGGAGGGGCTACTGAGTACCAGCTGCCAATACCTGCAGATGACAGATGGCACTAAGAGGTGCAGCAAGGGTTCCTGAAACCTGCCAGGGCAGCAGAATCAGTCCTCACCTGGTTGAAAATCCAGCTGCCCACTGCATTCTGTTGACATTCACAGAGTCAGGCAGCACCTGGAACCTGCATTTTAAAAAGCACTCTTGGGGGGTGCCGAGACCTGGGCAAGCTGGGGAAATGTTGGCGGTGGGGCACCAGCTGGTCTGAACAAACTGGAAAGCCAGCCCAGAGACTGCATTTTAGGTCAGAAGGAATCTGGAAACCCTGACTGGAGAGGTCAGGAAAGGGGTCCCAGGGCCCTGGGGAAATAACTATAGTTGCTGGACACAATTTTATTCCAACTTAAAATATTTGTTCCTGGAATTCTATTATATTAAGTAATAATCCTTATCCAAGGATTAAATGATGGTGCTTTCTGCTAAGATGATAGAGAAAATGGCCTTCTCCTAACTGTATCCCCACCCCATAGCTGCCCCACCCGAGGCAGGTGGGGATGAAAGCCCAGTGCTCCAGGCCACAAGGGAGCACGTGGCTTTGCTCTGCTCTCAGGTGACCACAGAGTAACTACCAAGCTCATCTCAAGCCCCACTGACTGCTGTCAGCTCCTAGACAAGCATTTCCACTTGCCCCTTCTGCCTGGTACTCTCCTCCCAGCCTTCTTCCCATGGCCAAGGCTTCCTCTCCAGGTCTCAGGGTAAACACCACTTCCTCTGAGAAGCCATCTCAAGCCCCACCCCCTCTCCTGAGTCTGCTGCCAGACAAGGCACCCTCAGCAGCCAGCGGGACCTGGAAGAGAGGAAGGCTGGGACGTAGTGACCAAAGCGAACATACTTCTGATTGCAGGGCTTAGAGAAACAATCAGGAGCCCCTTGGAGCAGCAGGAAGGTAGACATGCCAAGGCACAGTTTGTGGGTTCTTTCTTTCATTTCTTCATTGCACGCTTATTGAGGGCCTGCTGTGTTCAGGGTCCTGGCTGAGTTCTGGAGCCACAACAAAGAATAACCAAGATTTACACTTTCACTCCTACCCAGTGGAGTGGGGAGACACACACAGAGGAAGGGATGGTGCAGGGAGGTAGACAAGGGTTGACTTGGGCTCAAAAAGGGCCCGCAGGGATCTGGAATGTTCAAGCCAGAATGACCTGGAGAGAATCTTATCCCTTAGGCTGAGCTTTGGGGAGTCCATAACTGTCCCCAAATTGCAGTCCCAAAGGGATAGGCCAAAAGAAAATACAGGGTGGACCGATGTACCCATGAGGTTTGGAGGCTGCAGTGGCCGGGGGGTTAGCCCACCTTCTCTGGCGATGATGCTCACGCACGAAGGGCTCTGCCCACACAAAGCCTGCTGCCGCCTGTTTCAGAACGCCAAGGCTTTAATTCAGTCCTACCAATGGCTCTGTGGCATCAGAGCGAGAAGGAGATCTGGAGCTTTGCATGGGGTCCGGCTGGGCTGACTGGATCTATTGTCTGGAGCCCTGCAACAGGACACCCCGTGTGGTGATCTTTATCCTCCCAACACACAGTGTGAACTTCTGAGGGCTGGGAAACGCTTTGGTCACCAGGCAACTGCCTCTCTTCTCCCTCAGGAGCTGATTAAAAACAGGGGCCACAATTAGAACGGCTGGTACCTGTGAGGCCACAGAGGGCAGCTGAGCCCAGAGACAGTGGGGACAGTCTTCATTCGGCTCTCCCACGTGCCTGACATAGAAAGCAGCCAAACCATTCTTGGGCAAATGACTCCAAGCCCCTGGGCCTCAGTTTCCCTAATAACGATGCCTTCCTAGGGAGGTTGTGAGGGTTAAGTATGGATGTTTGTAAAGTGCCTAAAAAGTGCCTGATGTAGTAAGTGCTATCCAATGGTACACAGGTAAACAGTATCAGAAAAAGCAGAGGGAGTGCCCCACCAGACAGCACTTGTGGGTTTCAGTGGCCTGAATACTCTCGCCATGATCAGTTTCAAGCTACCAATAATTTAACAACTGGCTTGGAAAATTCAGAATGTTAAATGACTCGCCCTCGCAAACTGGTCTGAGACAGCCGCTGCACGCCACTCCATAGGAATCTTACCATTGTTCGTAGGTTCCCTTTTTCATTCATGCATTCACTCACTTATTATTGAGTGTCCAGAGTTTGGACACTACAGTGAAACAGTCCCTGACCTCAGGGATCCCAGAATCTGGAAGGAAGGAGACATGAACAGGTCATCACTGTACACCAATGGGCAATGCAATAGGACAGTAAAGGAAAGGTGCCTACACATGCCTGTCTTATTGATGGGAAAGCCCAGGTGCTCAGAATCTGAGTGCAGATATGAAGTTGGGTTAATGGCAGTTCCTATCACTTACCCTTCTTCCCCTATCTCTCTGATCACGTAGCTCGGAGGTACTCCCAAGGCTTGTTCTGGGAGCAACAAGATACTTTTCTTATCTTTAGGCCACTGACTACAAGAAATTTACAGGGACAACAAATGCCATCTTGCATAGCCTCTGACTTAGAAAAGGCCATACCTAAGCCACGGCAAACAGGTAAGGATTAGGGATGCTCTCGTAAGGTGGGTCCCAGGAAAAAACCCTGCAAGTACGCCATGCCCATGTCTTGGCTCTGATGCCAGTAGTTTTTATCGCAAGCTCATTCAGGTTCCTTATACTGGTCCAGATATCTTGGTCTCTTGGCTTCCACGTGAATGGAATCAGAAAAGAATCATTTTCAATTTGCATTTGGAATTAAAGTTGCCTTTTTGGTTATCTTTCAAACAACCCTTTGTTTTAAGCTACCGTGGGTGACAGTGTGTTGTAGGAGATAGATCAGATCTGAGTTGGACCCTGGCTCTGCCGTTCCTGGTCGTGTGAGCCTTGGGTTGGATACTTTGCCTCTCTGAATATCCGCATCCTCATCTGTATAATGGGTCCACAGTCCCATCTTTCTAGAAAGCATTCAGCAAGGGTGAGATGGCATGGGGAAAAGGTCCAGGACTTCACAGCCAGCCGGACTCTCCTCTTCCTGCTAGTCCTCCCCATGCTCTTCCCCACCATACCTGGTGAGACAGACAACTCGAACCTCTGTCCAGGGCTACTTGTTCTTAAATCCTTTTCAGTCTTGGCAGAGTGATCTATGCAAGGGAGTTTTTGAATAGTTGTTCCTTCTTTTTCCGAGAGCTTTAAGCTCAACCCTGAGTTGGGAAAATCCTCTCAGTTGCCTGGGACGAGGGTCCTCCTGGGTGATGCACTGCTCCAGACCTGCCAGTGCCCAAGGAGCACCTCACTG